ATATAATATGAAATAATATATAGGACACCTTTAAAAGAAAAGTGATGTAAGAAGTAAAAATATTTGATTTGATCTAAACGTCTCTGTCTCCTCAGACGCCACAGGAAGTGAGGGTGAGCACAGTGTCTGAGCGCAGGCCCACCAGGTTCAGTTTTCCTGTCAACACATCAGGTGTAACGGAGCTCACGGACGTCCCGACAGGTAAACTGACCCTGGTCGAGGCCCTCAGGGCCCTGGGCAATCACCAGCACCAGCCTCAGACCTGGACCCCTCAGAAGATCTCTCAGGAGTACTCTCTGGACCTGAAGGAGGTCACGGCGGTCCTGCGGTTCTTCATCCCGTTCCACGTGGAGATCACACATCCTAAGGGCAGAGCTGCCAAACGGATCAAGGGCTGAAAACACCTGTGGAGCCGGCTCTTCATCATCGTCTTCATCTAAGGTTCTGGGTCTGTGAGCCACCAGGACCAGAGCTCTGCTCCTTCTTTAACCTGAACGATTTAAAACAAACTCATGAATCAATAATTCAACTTCAACACAGAACCGAAGAAGAATTTAGTCCATTTTTTATATTTTTGTCTGATAGAAAAGTGTCCCATTCTAATAAAAACTGTTTTCTGGACAAAACAAATCATATTATTATATGATTGGTGAAAACATCCGCAGTATAAGACAAAATAAAAACTTTACTCTGTGTCAAAAGTGTAAATAAATACATTAAAATATGATATGAACTCCAGCTGCAACACATCTGCAGTTTTTTTTCTCGCCACCCACAGAGCGCGTCTTTCACGTGCCCAAAAYAAGCACTTCCTGCAGAATAAGACACGCCCACTAACGTCATCTGGCTTTGCTATTGGACGCGGTCTGACAAGGGCCCACCTCATGGAGAGCCCACCGTGGGTCCTGCAGTGGGTCCTGGACTTGTCRGTCATCACAGAACATCAAGAGAACGTAGCTGTATCCGGAAGTCCTGGCTCCGCCTTCAAAATAAAACTCATTCTGCAGCTGGATTTGGTTATGGTTGTAGCATCAATGTTTGTTTATTTCAGTGTTTTTAAATTCCCAACAGAATGCTTCTGAGTGTCGGCCATGTTGGAGGAACAAGACAAGCGAAGACATGAGGCTTTAAGTCACCTGTTAAACAGCTACAGGTGAATCAACAGGTAACTACTGGAGCCAAACCAGTTGAAGATGGCCACCAGTTTGACTAGAAAATACAAAAATTTATTTTTTACTGTCATCAGAACAGTTATCCTTTATTAGCTCCAGTTTGATTAGAGGTGGTAGTAGCTGAGAGTGATTACACAGCCTCAATAAACACAGTAAAACAGCTATTTCTCATATTTTTTGTTCATTTTGTTTCAGTTTATTTAACAGTCACAACAAAATCACCTCTTTCTTTACAAAACTAATTCTAAACTATGATTTAGTTTGTGTAAAGAAACCAACAGATTTATTTAAATCTGGACTGTCAGAAAATTCTGGTTTATATCAGAAAAGTGAACATAAATAAGTTTGTTTGGGGTTATTAGTAACAATATTGCACCTGTTCACTGGTTAAAGTTAATATTATTAGTTTTGAACATGCAGTTAATGGTCATTTGGCACAATGATGTGACAATTTAAAATAAATCAAGAATAAACATTATAAAAGTGAAAGGCACTCCTAAAGTCACTGGATATGTTAAATTGTGTCACTTTAATTAACCTTATCTCAGCTGTAGCAGTGAGTTTAAAACAAAATGATAGAACTAGATTAATGAATCTGTCTCTGAAATAATAATTAAATCAAGTGTTTATTTATGTAGATAATAGTATGTTTAAAGGGATCCATGATTAGTTGTAACATTAAACTTTATTTGATAAACCATTTATTTTAACTGTAAAATAAAGACTGTAAAAATACTGTAGGATGTTTAGGTTTGTAATTTTTAAACTAACAGATTAAAAATATATTTTTAA